AAGTGTGGTAACCAGAACGTTAAGTTAGAAAACACAGTCTGTATGTGTTAATGTTACTTTACCTAATCATTACTCTGTAAGAGACTGTTTGTTTCAAAAAAAGAAGTCATTTGATTATTTATCCCTCTCAAAAAAGGGATGTAGCGTAGGCACATAAACAAATATATGGATATATCTAACTAGACAGGTACTCACAATCTACTAACGATCTCTCCTACCTGATTGCAATTGACTATTGTATTCTATCGACAATCGTAATTAGCGTAACAACACATGTACCTAGCTTATTGCAGCGGAACGTTCTTCTGTTACACCGTACTGTAATATTAAACTAGCGACCCGTCCCAACTTCGCACGGGTTCGCACCTTTGCGAAGTTGGGACGTGATTGTAACAGCATATTGATACAAAAATGTGTCCTCTGCGTAATGGATGTTATTATACGTACTTCCTACTTAAAAATTTTCTCTTCAATCACTCTGTCTAAAGTCTAAACAAAAAACTAGAATATAATTTTTAATACCTAACAAAAATTTTATGTTACAGTTGCAGAAGGTCAAACAACCAATCATGATTATTTTTCCAAAATAAAATTTTATTTATAAACAGAATCACTGCATCTCTCATTCTGTACTTTAAATCCGTTGAGTAGTTTTAAAGATTTAATAAGCATACACAGGGACATTATCAAATTACTTATTTCTTCCCACGGGTGGGGCGAGAGCGAGCGACAGTCTGTTATTGACTAAAAACCAACCCAGACCTTATCCTGTGCCGGGGTTGCGGGGTAAGCGCAATGAGTCACCGCGGCCTCGGCTCTGAGCAGGAAAAGGAACGGGGGGTTTTAGTCAGTAAGAGTCTAACACTTTCTCGCCTTACCCTGGCTGGAGCAGGCATTTGATGATCTTCCCCTGACAAAAAAAGGCTTTATCCTGTTCCGAGCCGGGGCCCAATACGTTATTGCCCTTGCACCCGGCTGGTGTGTGCCTTCTATCCGTTTACGTAATTAACCTAAATCAATTTTAAGAATCTGTCGTAGTGGCCCGGAGGTTAAGGAGCCCGCTTCTCATGCATAAGGGTGTGTGTTCGAAACCTGGCAAGTACCAATGTGACTTTTTCCGAGTTATATGTACTTTCTATGATTATTTAGACACCACTGGCATACCGTGAAGGTAAACATCGTGAGGAAACCTGGACTTATCTTTTCTAATTATAAGTTTGAAATCGCCAACCCGCATTGAGCAAGCGTTGTGATTAACGCTCTAACCTTCTCTGTATGGGAAGAGGCCTCTGCTCAGCAGTGGGCATAGGCTGATGATGATGATGATGATGATGATAAGAATCTTATTAATAAGTTGTCTTAAATTGTTTACAATTATGTATTTCCCTTAATCGATGTTAGCTAATAAACTAAATTTAAATAAACCTTGCATGTGTTTTATTTTATACCACCTTTTTAATAAACCTAAAAAGACTTAGGTAGTTTGGTAGGTACCAAGATTGTTCACCCGGGGTAAGCGCAATGAGGCACCGCGACCTCGGCCCAGAGCAGAAGAAGGAACAGGGGGGTTTTTAGTCAGTGAGAGTCTGACACTCCCTCCCGCCTGGCCCTGGGCGGGAGAAGTCATTTGATGATTTTCCCCTCACAAAAAAAAGGTACCAAGATTGTTTACCCACCGACCTTGTTTGGTGTAAGTGACATCCAATCGACAATCGACAGCAACAAATGAACAACAGACTACAGTGTATCACTTGAAAAATAGTCGATGTCTCTCAATTGTCACTTCCCATGTAAAAACAGACGACTGTACCACTCCAATCATGATGTGTCAATGGGATCTGTGCTGGTGCTGTATGTATGAGTTTTAGTTTTATTGCGACCGTGTTTGATTTCAAAATTGATTGGTTTTTGTAAATTGAATTAGGTAAGTATCTATTTTAATTCAAAGATATACATATAAGCTAGGTAGGTACATTACCTATTTGTTATACATGTAGGTACCTATATAGGCAATTTGGGCAACATTGAAACAATGAAACAATGATTCATATGTCACACATGTCGGCAAACGAGCAGACAAATTGCAATCGGCGCCGCCCATGGACACCCGCAACATCAAAGAAGTTACGAGTGCGTTGCCGGCGTTTTGAGGATTGGGGTTATGGATATTTAATTTTAAAGATTGGAGAGGGATGGAGGAAATTGGGTAAGTAGGTACTTACTATATTTTTTTTTTTTTTTATTTTAGAAATGAAATATGCTTATTGGTTGTAAAAACAAATCATTGTAGATATCTATGTAAAACTGGTGTACCTGGGTATACCTAACTGACACACCTATTCAAGGATAATTTTTTTATTTAAAAGTATTTATTTATAATCGACTCTACCATTACAGGTTTAGGTATCGTAACCTAATGCGATAGACAAAACACAAAAACAAGTCTTAAAAAATAAACAAAGAATAACAAAAATAGCAATAACACAACCTTAATTTTTAAAACACAAAAGATGCAATAGGTAAGTAGTTCTCTTGCGAATTCACTAAAGTGACATGTCAACACATCTACTTTTGCATGAAGCCTGTTTATATTACCTATCGCTCTGGTAAGAGGCGTCCATTAGGTTAGTCCTGGTTGTTGGTAAAATAACACCCTGTATACTTAACCAAGCCTTTAAGTCCCGAATGATTCTGCTGACAGAGGTATACAAGTACCTATTGGAGATTGCAAGTGCGCAAGGTACAGCGTTCCGACTGAACGGGGTGGTTTTTAGTCAGTAAGAGTCTGACACTCCCTGTCAACCGACCCAGGGCGGGAAAAGCCACTTGATAATTGTTTATGATTAAGCATTGCTTAGGTACTCTCTTTCCATCAGTTATACCTATTAAAGTTTGAAAAAGCTGAAAGTGTGGGAACTATCCTCCTCACGCCCCTGCCGACGCAGTAGGCGACATTCCGGCGTCGGGGATCGAGAGACAATCTCCGGCCATCGTAAGCGCGGGTCTGCGGAACGGCGAGTAAGGGTTGCTTGCCGCCCGACCAGAACCAGACCCGAGCGTACGGTATGTAGTGTTCCGAGCGCGCCTCGAGAGTCAATAGGCCACCACAGACAGGGCCCTACAAGGCAGATGTTCAGCCATGTTGCGGGTAAGCTCAATGTGGCACCGAACAATGGGTTTTTTTGTCAGTAAGAATCTGACACTCTCTCTCGCCTTATATACCTTTTAGGCGAGAGAAGTCGTTAAATTGGATGTTTTTCCCCTGACAAAAAAAAGGTACGTGGACTGACGATATCCGCAGGGTGGCTGGCAGTGATAGGATGAGAATAGCTGGAGTTCATTAACGTGTAATTGGAAAGGCATATGTCTAGCTGTGGACAGAAAGAGACTGATAATTATCCCACGCGGATATTTTGAGTAAGAAATTCACCTACCTACTTATACTTCTGAATAAATGTATGTAGGTCCATTTTGCAATACTTAATTGAATAAAATATTATGTACAATACGGCCGACGTATCTTGGCGAGTCTGAAATTAGCCGATTAGCTGCGCAGTACCCAATTTTGTTCCTAAAAGATCCATTGCGCGGACAAACGGCTAACTTCAGACTCGCCATGATACGGCGGCCGTACTGTAGGTACCTCCTTTTCTTTCGACGGTCAACCAGAACCACCGCAAACTTTGTAGTTTTACGATAAAAAAATTTATTAAAAACACACATTGACAAGAAAATATAATTTTATTGATTTTTATACTTACTTACATACTTTTTTTACTATTTTAAACCATGTTTTTTTTGAGCTAATCACTACCTATACTAATTACCTCTAAGTATTGAATAAGTTTCCTATTAATCACAAGGATTCCGATAAATAAATATTTTTTTTTATTTCTTGTGTCTTTTATTTGGAATGTACAGCTACAACACATAGTATGATGTTAACTTTTACATGCAATTAATAATGATAAAAGTTTAAAACATATAGCCTTTTGCTGTGTTAGCCTTTTTTTTAAATATGCAATTTGTAGCTATCCGCTATAGCCGATAGCGCGTAGCAGACGCTATCGCACGTGCTATTAGCATAATAGTAATAAACTATTTTTAGTAGAAGATATATTAAATTAGACTCTTTTCTGATCAAACAAAATGTTGGTAGGTATAAAGCAGAGATATTTAGATGACAGTATCACGTTTTTCATTTCACAAACTCCTCACATGCTTTCATTGCTTTTTATTATATCTACTGCACAGAATGTATACACCTATTTACATTAATGTTGCATTAGTTACTTAGTATTCTTGAATCAGCGCCTATCTCAGCCCCAAGTTGGATTTTGTACTAGGCTTGGCTTCTTACAGAGACGCAGCGCGTGGTTGTTCGTCGTACATATGGCAGCATCTTCGCTAGCGGTAAACAAACATTTTGAACAGACCTCCCAACACTCCACGTCCCTGATGGGTCCCAATAAGGCCTTAGACTGATTGATTTTTACAAAATTTGTTATCCTCAAAATTATATTTCTTGCAAAATTAAATCAATGAAATTCCTGTATTAGTAACATATTTTAACATAATAAAATTTTATTATTTTTTTGTCTATTTTTCGAATATCGAATGCCAGCTACAGGTTCTCTTGCTCCTCTACGCGTTAGCACCATCTAGTGAGCTTAATGCGCAACATTCATGATAAAACCACAAACAATATTTCACCCACGGTTGCATCTTTATTCGTAAGATCAATTATTAGAACTAGCGCTAAGAAAACAACATTTCAGGCATTTTGATTTCAATTGCATAGACAGTAAGACTAAAATTATAACTGCAGGAAAAGTTGATGTGTGAATTTTTATTTTTGCTAGAACACCATTCTTATATAAACTGCGTAGAGTTGAAAATTGTTTCAATAAGCAGTAAATTGCGTTTGTTGGAATAAAATAAATATAATCTTTGTAGACTTATAATGAAAATAAAATAAAGTTATACATAGACTTAAATGACTAGTCTTCGCCAGCGGGCACTGCATCTTCTAATCTCTTGATATATTTCACTCGTAATTCAGTGACTGCATCTCCTTTCAGTTGATCCTGTGAAGAAGACAAATAATTGATTTTACCGCCATCTATAATTTTGAATCAGAACTACTGTGCGAGCACAAGTTTAATGTTTCATTGAATACTCGCTAGATGTCATTATTACGCAATTTCATATTCCAAATGAAATTATTTCAGGTTTCATTTAACTATTATAAAAATTATCATTGATTTGTTACCAAATTCATGTACTTTTATAAAAACTATTTAAAAGCTAAAATTTTTCAACAGTAGAGAAGGTACTGATAAGCAAATTCAATGAACTTGTCTATAATTTGTCTCCTACTTTTCTTTGGTAAATGTTAAGTATTAGTCCATAATAAGCAACCAGATCGCAAAGGTCTTCAATATTATCTTAAAAACCTCACCTGCACAAACCAGCATTGCACTTCGAGTTGCACCATCTGCAGAGCTCCACGGATGGCACCGGGGATCAGGGCACAGTACCGTAATCCATTGTTGGGCATCTCCACCCAATCGCTCAGGGCACACTGGTCCCAAACCAATGAGAACTCATCTCCAGAACTACTCCAGCTGGTCACTGTCGGCTGCATGTTTAGATATAATCTAGAATTTTAGATTTTTATGAAAATTAACAATTTCTTTTTATGAGCAATGAACTGCCTTTTCAAATAAAATCTTGTTGTAAGTAATTATTCAGTGAATATAATATTAATAATTACAAAAGATATTTTCAGCAGGTTGATAAAATTAGAAAATAATACATCTTGTGCAATGGTGATGTCTGACAGAGAAAAATGGATAGAGAAAACATTATTTGCTATTTAAATGTATGTTGGGGCAACATAATGGAGAACAATACTTCTTAGGTATGTTAAAAGTTATGAAGTTGATTAATTATTACAACCAATTTTAATAACATACTATTCTATTCTTTTTAAATCTTAGTCTTGTATGCAGATATCAAATGTTTGACATGATATACCGTTGCTTTTCACTGATAGAGAATACCTTTGGGCATCTATACTAATATTATAAAGAGGTAAAATTTGTAAGTTTGTATGTAGAAGGTAATCTTTGGAATCGTATTTCCAAAATTCTTTCACTGATAGATAGCTACAATATTCCTGAGTGCTATAGGCTATAAAACATCACGCTACGATTAAATGGAGCCAAGCAGCGAGTGAAACCGCGTGAGAGTAGCTAGTCAAGTGATAAAATACAATAAATAAATTGTACCAAACACTGGCTCAAATCGAAACTACCTGCTGCCCGATTTATACAAAGTCAACACGTCATTCCAAATTATAATCTACCCCTGACTAAAATTTTAATCGGGTCTATTCAGAAGTTTTATGAGGAAAAGTAGTTAGTGTTTATAATGTTAGTAGAATCAGTATAAATTACATAATTTTCCAACCTGAAAGCCTGTTGTATCTTATCAGCGGTCTCCCTCATCTCCAGGCATCGTGTTGACGTAGTTCTAGCTAGGAAATCCTCGATAAGTCTCACTCCCATATTATAGCCAATACGTTCCAATTGTTTATTAACATCTTCAGGATTTTCAGTTTCTTTCAGCATTTGAGACACAAGAGCGCCGTAAGTGAGGGTCAGCAGCTCAGAATTCTGTAAAATTATATCCATTCATGGGAATAGTTACGGAAATGGGGCGTTTTTAATTTAACATGATTGATTAAGAAACTTACGACTTTTTTGGCATCGAGACGGGACGTTTGTCTAGACATTTTTGTGGTTTCTTGTTATTTAATGAAGAATATTGAATAATTATCAACCGGGATACTGTTTAGCTGAACCAATTTTCTGTTTTCCTTCAAGTAAAAGCAAACCACAAATCAATATTAAATGTCAAATATTCTGATTTCGTTTTGTTTCAACACTAAATAGTACATAGTAGTAACATGCATTGTAATTAAATGATATTTTATAACATACGAAAATGTCATGATTATTATAACAAAATTACATTTTTTTATTATTAGAATGTTACAAATGTAATGAAACGTTTGTTTTGGTAAAGTTGAATAAATTATTATTGAAATAGTAGAAAGAACAAAACGCAAACTCAAATGCGTAATGCGAGGCCTCGAACTTAACCCAAAAACCTAGATTCCAGAACATCAATAAAAACGCCAGCTTTTGTTTTGTTTCTTGAATTGAAACGTCAAACTATTTCAAAAATGTCCATTCGAAGCCGTTACACAACGTAAATATTATAAATTGAGATGTTTTTATTGTTGATTGTTAAAAATTACAATAAAAGCTAGGAACTTAATAAAGTTAATTCATGAATTATGGAAAGAGATGAAATCGAAAAAAATGATGCGGGGTCTTCGAATGATGTTGATTCTCGCGGTGCTGTGAATTCATTGATACTCGATTATTACAAAAAGTTTGGTAGAAAGAGGGATTTAGAGCAATTCTTCTCTTTATCGACGGCTCAGAGTGATATTAAGGACACCAGTGGTTTATTTTGGCGTAAAATGAAGAGTGAAAATGATTCTTCCGATTCCGGTGGACGAAAGAGTGATTCTTCACAAGAAGTTTGTAGAATCTCAATACGGTGTTCCCTGCCTGAACCTACTAGTTCCCAGGTAAAGTATTCGTGGTTGCATATGTATTAAAACGCCCTTGCAACGAACTAGAATTTGTTTAAGTTTTAGACTCCGCCAATATTATTGTGATTTAATTAGGTTTTCATATAAAACTGTAAAGGAAACTCGGTTGCCAATGAATAAAAAATTCAATACCCCCGTTGTAATGAGTTACTTAACAGCCCATGTTTAATAAATAATGTCCGTTACGATGACCAACAAAATCCATAGTCATTTCTAGTTTATTCCAAATTACATACAGAACATGATTCATTTTGGTTTTGAATCTCAGGAAGTCAAGAAAGTACCATTTTTTACAATTAAAGACCAATTCCTCTACATATCTTTGCCAATACAATAAAGTTTGAGTGTCAGTTTGGTTAAACGGGCTAATCTCCAGAACTCCTGGTCCGAATTCAACAATTATTTTGTGTTTTATATTCCACTTATCGAGTAAGACTATGAGTGTTCTAGGAAGACTTTCAACTATCATACTATGGTGTTAAGCAGTGGTTGAAACTGAGTCTGAAGTAGCTAGTAAGTAGTGTCAGTGCTAGCATATCAGTCAGTTATTTTTGTAACTATAAGTGAATTTAACTGTACCGCTGAGTACACAGTTCCTAAATGTACTTTCAATATTATTGTACGCAGCAGCTGTTATTACAGCTAAGCATATTATTTTGAATACCACAGGACATAGTTCTACTGATTCTGATTATTAGGAAAAAGTGAAATAGCATTTACTCTTTAAAGATCAAGGTCCCATTTAAAACTAAACCGCTTTAATTAAGTACCTTGGCTAATATAATATGAAGAACGCTGTAAAGTTTTGAACCTAACAAGCTTAGACACAGAATATGGAGATCTGATTAAAACGTACAAAATCTTAAATGGTTTTCACAAAATTAATGTTCATTTAACAGATCACCACCTACAACTGTGTACAATTTTCTCAAAAGTAACCTTCACAAACACTTTCTAATCAATTGAGTGGTCAGAATGTGAAACAGACTATCAGGAGACGTAATCTCAGCACAATATGTTGATTAATTTATAACAGATTTGTTTAATTTTGAAAACTAGAAAATACTGTGTAGCTAGGTATAATAAACAGGCTTGTAACAGTTGCCCAACTTTTTTTTTTTGAGGTACATTGTGAAGCTACTTCTCTCGCCCAGGGTATGGCGAGAGGGAGTGTCAAATTCTTTCTTCCGTCTCTTGCTGGTACCTTATTAAGCTTCACCAGTGACCCTGGACAGTAGTCCCAACTCCTTGCCTGATTAAATAATAAATTAAAAACAAGGGACAACTGCCAGACTTCAAGCCCCTTTACATATTAGGTTTTACCTTACTGCTTCTGACAGCCAAATCACCTGTTATTTTATAACACATAGCTGCTTTATATGCAGGTAATATGACTGTATTGTCACTCTATACCAATTTTAATTAAGTTCTATTCAGTGTGTTTTTGTGTTAAGAGTAAAAAACAACTCAACAACTTTCGCGTTTTTTCTATTCATAGGTATTTGCTTGTGTAATAACGCAAACAAAAAATTAAGTTTTTATTTTTATTAATCCTGTTCTCTGTGGGATTCCAGGATGATAATGAACAAAAAACAAAGACTGATTCCCCACACACAGAATCTCCCCCGATCATCATTGAGGAAGTACCCGCTGATGTATCAAGACAGACTGATGATGAATCCTTCCACTTTGATGATAATAACTCGCAAAAATGTAAGAAGTAATAATAATTGTATATTAATAAAAGTAAAAGACCTTATAAGTTGTAAAAAACATACTACCTATTTAGTTTTGTTTTTCATTGGATTGGTCAGTAAACCAGCAGCCTGATTACCTGATGGTAAGCAATCGACATCGCCCAGGGACACTTGTACAAGTGCGTTGTCGGCCTTTCTGCGTTATTAGACATTTAAGGATAGGAAACTTAGGGATCACCCCTAGACCTCAGGTAACCTTACTCACACGGCGAAACACAGAATGATGTCTCACGCCGATATTCTGTGAGGCCGTTGTATCATTCAGGTCGGGCTATCCCGTTCAAGGCGAAGCATGGCTCTTCCACACTATTCAGTGAAAGCAGAAATAATATTTTTAGGCACTTTAAAGTAATAAAAAGAAAATGATGTAGGTAATAAAACATTTTCTGTATATTAATATTGTTTATACTCAATTCAATGCATAAATGTTCATAAATACGTATTTACTATACTTATTCAAATGTATAATAATTTAGTATCCAAAATGTCCAATATTAATTTGTGATTGAACAATAGAGATTTATAAATAATTTCTAATCAATAAAATTCTTCGCATTTCAGCTTTAGATGCACTTCTTGACTTATCAACACACAAGACACATTCCCCAACTAGTAGTATTACTTCGCAGAGAAAACTGGAATGGGACTCTCTTGCTGATGTAGGGTATGCTAATGAAAGTGACAGAAAAAACTCAGCATCAAGTCTTAGCACTTTGGAGAGGCTCGCTTTAAAACAACAATACACAAATAACGATTCCAAACAAGAAATCGGAATACCCACCTCGCATTCCACACCGATTGACGAAAATGATAATAAATCAAAAATAAAAAAAGGTATAGGAAAGAAAACTAAGTTTTATAAAAAAGATGTTGATTTCGTTGAAGTTAATGTACCACATACTTCTGACGCAAATCCTCCTCCATCCATCAATGTTAATCTTACTAAACACATTTCTTTCAATGTTGAAAGGGATGGTGGTGTTACTATTGATAATGTTAAAAAGGATGTCAGTGTATCCTCTCCTGAAAAGGTCAGTGTAGACACGTCTTACGTAGGTATGGACAAAGAAATACAAACTACATTGCCTCTAAACAAACCAGAGAAAAAAGAGAAATCAATCAGTCCCGATGAAGCCCCAAAGCCAGTTGATCCTTATAACCAAAAAATTCCGGTTATGATCAGCTTAAACACACTAAGGAAGAGATTAAGAAAGAAAAAGGCAAGAAATGTGAGAAGAAAATTAAGAGTGAGAAAGCAAAAAGAGGTCAATAAGGATGAGACACCACAAGAGAAAAGTGGAGCTCAATTATCTGAAGCTGAAAGCTTTGAATACATGCCTGGACATGTCTATAATCAGAATAAGTTAAAAGACAATGCACCAATTCTAGACAATAGTGCTGCTGGGAACAAATCCAGTTTAGAGTCCAGTGGTCTCACTACAGATTCCAGCAAAAGATCCAAACATTCCCTCACCAAAGATTTAGAACAATGTGTTGAGTTATTAAAGCATACTTTACAGAAGCGCTACGACGATGGTGATATCAAGAAAAAGTTAATAAAAGATATTGTCGAGAGGTTAGTCAACTCGAAATACAGAAATGACTATAATTCTGACTTTTTGTCTGGAATTAGCAGCAAAAGACTAGGTATGATAGGAAACAATACTACTACAAGCACGTCTGATGCTAACAACACTGAAGATAGTACAAATAAAAAGCCAAAGAAATCTATTCTACGAAGCGAAAAGTTCAACGCCAATGTAGTAGCTTCTACTTCGCAAAGTGCCCCAAACTTGTTCAGTGCTTCTATTGAAAAGGTTACTTCGAACTTAATTAAACCTAATACTTCTAATACTGAATCAGATGTCTCTAGTAAAGAAAAAACTTCTTCGGATAATGGTTTCCCTAAAACTTCATCCGAGGAGCTGTATTTAAAGTACTTGGAAGCTCTCAGACGCGAAGAAGCATACAAAAGACATTTGAAGGATAAAGAAATGTTCTTGAAACAGAAGTTAGTGAAGTCTGACACATCTTTCAAAGTACCTGTAAATCAGGAAGCAAAAATGAACAGAAGAATGAAAGATTTGATGAAAGACTTGACAAGAAACAACTATGATGATGGATCAGGAGATGCTAGTAAATTAGAAGGTGGCTCTTCTACCAATTTAGACATAGACCGATTAAGTGCCGTAAGAAGCCAAAGAAGTCACTCTGTGTTTACTCTTTCCTCAAGTCATTCTGATGCCCCTAAACGACCAAATTTAAAAAAGAAGATTCAGGCTGAAAGGGAGATAGATGAGGCTGGTCCAAGTCAAGGACATTATTGCTGCTGTCCTCATCATTACTTGAATGCAAAAACGGGGTTTTCAGACAACTCTGTGCAGGTGAATATTAAAAATTGTGATGCTGCAGTTGGAATGCCTTGCCAGGGTAAAGGAAAAGACTGTGTGATAATGTTTGGCGACAACAAGAAATCCAATTCAGAATGCCCCAAAAACACTTGCGTCGCTCCCGACAGTCATAAGGGTGACATCAAATATGTATGTCTCTGTGGTGGTAAGCAGGTGTCTTCGTCTGAAGTGGGCGACAATTTCATGATATACAGGTGCTGTAAATTGACCAATCGTGGCATACAGCCTGAAGATCCTTCGAGAATAAACACTGCTGTTCAATGTGGATCTTGTGAAATGAAAGATGACAAAATAGAATTACTACAACCTCCTTGTAGGTTGGCTACTTGCACAGATAGTAGTAGTACGGATAACACGTCAAATGCCCGGAGACATTCGAGAGCGTCTCAAACGAACATGCTCATTAACATGTGCCTGGGCATGAATAATTACCAATCTTCAGGGTCTGATATAAAAAAAATACGTGATACTACTACTAAAAGTATTGTGTGTGCTAAAAAGCATTTTGTGACTGAAGCCACAAGATGTCTTCAGACCGAAATTAGTATTAACCCCCAAATCTCTGATCCCAGGTTGTCGGACATTAATATCATTAGTAACAATGATTGTGCTAGACTTATATCGGAGCAACGTAGAAGAGTTTCCGGCTATAGTACTGAATCTGAGGGAGTAAAAACGTTTAGCGATGTCAGTACTAACAGCACGTCAGACAAATTTTTAATACAATCTGAAGGCAGTCTTTGTAAATCAGAAGTAACGTCTAAACAGAACAGCGAAGATAAAGAGTCCAGAAAGAGCTCATTAGTCGGGAAAGACTATACAATTCCTATTCATGGTACTAATATGACTTTAACAGTTAATCTGGGTGGTAATAACGTAAAAAATACTGGGCCATATGAAGCAGGCGTGGTTACTGAGAAGATATCCCAAGCTGATCAAGAAACTTTAGCTATTTGTGAAGTGTCAAAATCTGCTCAGTGTTGCTTGAACCCAGAGTGCTCTAACAGCACAAATACAAATTCCAAAACAGATGCTGCGATTTCCACCAAAACCTCTTGCTGTCTAAAAAATATTACTTCGGGTTCTACTTATAATACGTACCCGATGGAAACAGTGAAGGAGAAATCTCCTTTTAAACGATCGAACACCGATACAGACAACAAATTATCAATAAACACTTCTATTCAAACTGATCCGATTCTAACGAAAGGCGAAGAAATCAATAATAATCAAGGAACAAGAGTGGATATCCGTTCTTCTAAGTTCAATACTTTCGAGAAAATTAGTCAAGTAGAACGGTCACGGAACATTAATGTAGCGAAAACCAAAGAGGTCAGAATTGATAGTAATACTACAGATATTAATAAAACGAGTAGAGACAGATCTGAAATTAGACAAGCCGATTTCTGCAGTTTAAATAGTAAAAAGATAGATAATAGCAGAGCAGAAAATTCAAAAAGCAACAAGAATGAATCAAAAATTGATAGTGACAAGGCTGGTTATTGTTGTAATACTGAAAAGACGGATGACACTAGATCAGAAGATACAAAAAGCTCTAAGAATGAATCAAAGACTGATAGTTGCAAAGGCGATTGTTGCGATTCAAATAGTAAAAAGACAGACAGTACTAGAACAGGATCTATAAAAGGCAGTAAATATGAATCAAGAAATGATAATAGCAAAGCTGATTATTGTAAATGCAAAACAGACAGTCCAAAAAGTGATAACAATTGTTTTGCAATTGAGAAAGTAAGTGTAGGTGTGCAAAAAGATTTATCTACTGAACAAACTAAAAATGTCATCATAGAAACTGATGATATACACACCAAAAATGTTAGCGTTGAAACTGAGTGTAGAAAGGAATTTGGCTCAGATGTGTGTTGTCAGACGGATAGACTACTGATTGAAGATATGGAAAAGTCCAATTTCCAAGAGAAAATTGATGTTCAGGCCAATACTTATAAAACTTTCGATAGTGAAACAAAAGATAAAAAATTACTAGAATCTCGCTGCCAAAATATTGACTGCCCTAACAGTTTCAATTCCAAAGGACCCATCATAGATGTGATACAAGACATTACACGACGTTATTCCAAAAAAGATGTGTTGAAAATTAAAAAGAACAAATGTTTTTCGGAAATAATAACGGTTCTGAACTATCTGTTGGAAACTGACGATAGCACAGATCCGGATCGTAAGTGCAGCACAAGTACGGGTATGAAATCAAGTTCAGATCAGGGTAAAAGAAGTAAACTGTCTGATACTTGCTCGGAACGAATGGTCGACAAAAGCGTACAGCTTTCATGCAAGAAGTCATCTAAGGAGAGCAAAGCTTGCACGGATACCTCTGACCTTCCATGTTCTTCAGATTTACCAACCACATCCTCAGATTCCGCGGCTTGTAAAGTACTGAACAAGATCAAGAAAGAATGCGAGAAATTTCACCAAAAAGTGAAATGCAAGGGCAGAAAATGCGAAGTCTCTAGTAGCACTTCCATTAACTGCGAAAAATGCAAAAAGGTTCACCATTGTGCCTGCAGAAGTCACAAATGTAAACGATCAAAGGCCTTTGAGAAGTTGCAGAAGAAATGTATAGCTTACAACTTGATCATACAAACTTCAGAGAGTATGCTGAGCGAGGAAACCATGTGTGAGAATAAAAGTCGTCCTCTAAAAAATGTTGTTTTGAAAGTCCCGAAAAATAAAGGGAAGAAAGAGTGTTGTTATAAAGGAGACCAAGAATCTCGTCGGACGAGTCCACAAAGAAGTCCTAAATGTAGTAAGAATAGGCCGAAGAGTGGTCGCCGCGAGAGCGAAACATCTGATGATTTTTCTAAAAGAATTGAGATGGCTACCGTTAGAGAATATTTGGAACAGAATCGTCCAGACTTTGTGAAGAATACGTCTCAGAGACAGGATTGTTTGAAGTTCATCAGTGAGAGAAGGTTAGTACATTCTTGTTGTTAAACATAATTAAGATTAATTTTCATAAAGTTTTGTTTAGGGATAAGATTTGTATGATGGTAGCCCTATTAGCGTATTCAGGAAACATAGTAGTTATTGTCAATCTGGCTAATAAAAGAGTAATCAAGAACTCACCGATCTTTCTCACTTCAGAAATGTACGAGATCGATACGTCCCAAGTTTGAAAATGGTCGTTGTACACAAACCTAGATGTATGGGTAATGTGACATCTGCCCCTGCTTACTGTGGAGGTATCTCAAGTTTTGTCATTGTAAATTGAACCTTAGCTTAGTAATAGAAACGAATTAGCTACAAAATTGCATTGTGGTGGAAAATCTGGAAAATTTCGTACGACTTGGCTTATTTTCTGTACGACCTGCAGAATGGGCTGAGAATTACAAGACATCAATAAGCGAGAAAAATTATTACAAACCCTAAAGTAATAAACGTACTAAACATGGAATTGCTTAGATTCCAAATCTTTTAAGCAAACGAATCATCAAATATCTCATAGCCTAGCCTCATACTAGGCGAGAGGGAGTGTCACGACGTACTGACTAAAAACCCCCCGTTCCTTCTGCTCTAGGCCGAGGTTGCGATACCTTCTTGCGCTTGGCCCACAACCCTGACAACACTTAGGTTATCAATAGGCTAACTTCAGAAATACTTTTATAGGTATGTGCTACCAAAGTTGCAATTCGGTTGAACCATGCGTTCCTTATGCAAGCGCGCCCTGTGTCTCGTGCAATAGTTGCGAAACCAACGTACCATGCAGTCGTCAACCAAATCCTAGCCCACCGTGCTGCGGTGCTTGTAGTCAATGTATCGATCCCTGTAACATGCGTTCCTTACAAACTATCGGTGAGTTCTTAATTATTTTCCTCGTATGTAAATTGTATTGTAGTAGTAGTTCGTTTTTATTAAATAGTTTTTAAGCAAATCACACAATTGAAAATTACAAACACACCCAAATACACAATAGGATACATTTCGGAGAATATTCGAGGGATCTACACGCGTTGTGCTGACGATGGTGGTATCTTACTACTAGACAATTAGCAAAACGTTACCAGGTGTGATAGCGGCTTATTGCGAAATAAAAAGACACCCTTTTAAAAAAACTAAATGAATATTTGGATAATCTAAGCGCCACCATACAGTTAAAAAATATATACCCCAGATATTTGGTTATTTGATTGTGGTTTGATAATAACATGGCTATACGTTTATAAAACCTTATCATGTGGCCAGTCATGTAAAATTTATATGGGCACTTACTTGGTTATAATAATATTTTTCAGAGCAAATGAACGAACTGCCAAACGGGACTTATTATCATTGCACGTGGAAAAACAACCAGATCTGACAAGCCTCACTTCTGAGGAGCTACGGCAGCTTGCCAAGGATATCGGACTTGATTTGCGAAAGAAGAGAAGTGAGTACTTTACACCTGTACCTAATTATAGTACGTCTAGCTTTTATTAACTGTATTCAATATTCTTGCCCATGTTTTAGGTTTCGTTGATAATTTGTGACATTCACAGTAAAGCTTATTATAACAGCATCAGCGAATAATGTGTCTGCCGAGCAATGACATGGTTAGATGTATCACGAACAGGATTGCTATCTATAACTTAATACTTTTTAAAAGGCCGGCAACACCTCTCTCTCTCTCTCACACACACATACTCTTTCTTTCTTTCTCTTTCTCCAAAAAAATATCTCAGTATCACAAAATGTGCCTAAGAACTCTCTTTCGTAAATAAAGTTCATTCATAGGTAATATTTGTTACTTCCAGCTGCCCCAAAATTTATTAGTGAACGTGAAATGAAGAAGCATTCGGAGAAGATTTACAAAACATTGCCAGAAGTTGTACAAAAGAAGGAAGAAAAGAAGAAGGAGAATATTAAGAAGACTAATTTATTGATGGCTAATATATTTAAAAAGGTAAGTTCGTCAATAAGTAGATTATTTTATTTCTATTGGTTTGTTTTTAAGAGTTTGGCTATGCATTCCTGACAAAAATGTCACGAGTACCTACAGCATATATAAAATAACTCGTTGTTTCGCCATCCCCAATCTCCAAATGCTCAAAAACTCCAATTCTCAAATCTCTTAATTCTCAAAAGGCCAACACTTACAACTCCTTTGGTGTTGCGATGCCCATCGGCGATGTCGATTGCTATCATTATGTTCGCTTGCCTACCTAGATGGTGATAAAAATATAATGGCATTCTCGGAAACGACTTAGCAGTTTTAAGGAAACTTACCTTTTGGAGCCGTGACAACACGATATGACTTCGTCGTTTTGTTTTTTTTTCACAGAATATAGCCCTCCTACTGAATTCTTTGTTTTACTTCCAGAATCTCCAAAAGCAAGCGTTGCGGGGGTCAGTGAATCTTTCCAACTACAGTACTGTTATAAAAATTTGACACTACAGTATTTTTCTCTGTTAAATTTGACCAAATGTAATGTTTATATATCAGCCCGTTGACCAATTGTTATGTATTCATGTTTGTCCCAGAATTTATAAGGGTGTCTGCCCGTTTTTAATTATTATTATTAATTATTGAATTTCTATTTTACTATGGAATATGTTTTTTAATTTAATCATTACCTTCATGCCGACGTATATAAGGATATCAAAATCAATTTAGCCTTTGTCTAGTACTTGTGTTAAAAAATAAATATCCTAAATCTTTTACGTACGAAAATGGTACTCAGATAAAACGAATTAAAGTTTTTAAGTTCTTATAAGAGTGAATAAGTTGCTGTCAGATTTTCATTACTGACCAAACGCTGAACAATGAATGATAATAAAAAATAAAAACTTTCCTATTTGGGTCGGCCCATTGCTGCAAGACTACCACCATAAGAGCATTTGCGTACTACGCACGAACGGAAACCATCGAAATAGACCCATATTTACAAATATACAGGGTTTGGATATTCTTTAAGTGACATGATGAAAAGATATGTAATCTACCAAAGATTATGACAAACCATATTTTTATGGATTGGGATCGGACATAGTGCCGAAGCTTTGAAGACTTTTAACGTACTGGCTAAAAGTATTACCTTTTTATTTTGTTCACCTGTGCTCGTGGCAATAAAAGCCTTCCGTATATAACAACAAAGTATATTTTTATTAAAATAATAATATCAACATCACAACAGTTCATCAACCTTCGCTGCTACGAGTGTTTTCAGGTTTCGTCGGTGTACTTTGGTTGTTGTGGTCAAAGGTAGCTCGTTCAGGAACATAACTCCACCTCTTAAATGTTTGGTGTCTGTCAGGTTTTCTGAAAATATTACATACATTGGGTTAAAATTGTATCGCATGACTGCATATTATATTGTTCTCAGATTACTTTTGGGCAGATGCCCGGCATTATCACTTCGCGTGGTCGGAGGCTCCTTTTCCGATCTTAGGAAACATAAATCTCTGTTTCCTAAATCTCTACACATTACTAATGTACAACACAGTGTTAAAAATGAATTCTATATTCCTATTAACAGGCCTAAACTCTAATCAAGAATATACCTTTGACTAAGTTCTTAATATCATCAGCGGTGAGGTCGAAACCCGGGCGTTGCACTACACAGGCCACAGGCAAGTCTCCATCATCTGGATCGGAAAGGCTGGTAACAGCCACATCCAACACTCCAGGGTGTTGTCGAATCACACCTTCTAGCTCTACTGGAGAAATCTGGAGAAGATAAAAAGATACTTATTTAAGACAAGATACTTATTTATTTTACGCATATGATGCTAGCAGAGCGATAAAGCCACTGGTTAGAGCTTGTAGTTATTTTTAAATTTAGTCGCACGTTTTTTTCCTGTTAATATCGTAGGTACATTCACAATCACAGACACAGAACAACAATCTGTTTATCACATAAAGTAAGTGGGAATCGAAACCTCGATACGTTCTGTAGCTACCGGTCGACCGGTACAGTAAGAGGCTATCGCTGACTGTTTTTCGGAGGCATAAGGATGGCATTACATGCATAAAACGAACTGTTCACTACAGCTGCCATTAATCAAGAAATAAAAATAAAATTAACGGTTTTTCTAGAACGTAGAATGTTATTTTGAGTTTTGAGTGGAGTGAATTAAAACAAACCTGATGATTCCTATACTTCAGCAGCAGTTTGATGCGTTCGACAAAGAAGAAGTTCCATTCTTCGTCTCTGTACATCATGTCACCAGTCTTGAACCATTTGTCCTCAGTCAGCACTTCAGCTGTCGGCTCTGGATTGTTGTAGTAGCCCTGTAAACCTCACTATATTCATACATAAGGTAGGTACAGTCAGGGGTCAAAAATGCAATTACACTCTAACAATTTTAAAATGACTTAAATTTATTTGTATTAAAAGTTCAATGGTTCACAGCCAGTTAATCAATAATTTAGATTCTATACTATAAATTAAAGAAGTCCTCAACCGTAAAGTAGTACCTACTCTACAAAGAAATTTCGCACATTTTTAAAATTGGTAGAGAGCAATTGCATTTTTGACCCCTGACTGTACCTACATATTTCTGTTTTATTGGTCGCGGCTTACTTTCGTCGCCACACCTAAATAAAACAGGAGGCTGATTTTTCAATGGTTAGATAAAAGTTACCTGGGGAATAATTATGATGCTGTCGCATCAGAATGTTTGTTTTAGACAGTGACAGCAACAATTTTAATTCTCTGATAACATTTATCTGACTATTGAAAAATCAGCTCTTAATAACATAAATTAACCGTAGACGCTTAGCGGGAATTGCCTCCGCAGTATAGTTTTTTTTTTCATTAGGAAAATAACCACATAAGCTCTCGCCCTGGCTGGGGCAAGGGTGAATATTAGACCCTTAAGACTAAACACCACCCCGTTCTTTCTCCTGCTAGAAGCTGGGGCTGCGGTACATACCTAATTGCTCTTGACTCACAAATCCGTTTGCCGCCGAATCGCTTTAAGGTAATTTCTTATTAGTAGCAGGTAGGTACATATGTCCATACTGTTCTACCTATCTTCAGGATCTTACCTTAAAATATCCAGGAGTTTGGATCCATAGCTCTCCCTTTTTGTAAGGCTCTTTTACTTCTTCCCCTGTGTCCACGTCGACCAACTGAAATATAAGGAACCCAAAATTACCACCATAAAGAATAACAAAATTAAAAGTGCAAAAGATTTGACTGTGTGGTTGAAAGAGTGAAACAACCATAGCGTTGTGTTTCGCCTGTGAGTGAGGTTACCGGAGGCCAGCCTCTCCCGTCTCCCTTCCTAATCCTGAAATATCTGCAACCCCATATCCCCAAAAGGCCGGCAACGCACTCGTAACTCCTTTGGTGTTGCGTTGAGTGTCCATGGGCGACGATGGTAAGTAATCGTTACCATCAGGTAATCCGTCTGCTCGTTTGCCGATTTACGTATCCCAAAAAAGGAGTGGATGAACGCGGGTGCAACTAATTCAAAGAATAACTCTTTACCTTTATCAATAAACAAATCTCTTAAGAGGTAAAATTTGTAAGTTTGTAAATTTGTGTTTATAAGTTTGTATGTTCCGAAGATTACGCCCTACGTAATCTTCGGAACTGCTGGTTGGATTTCAAAAATTCTTTCACTGATAGACAGCTACAATGTTCCTGAGTGCTATAAACTATAAAACATCACGCTACGAGCCTAGCAGCGGGTGAAACCGCGCGAGAGTAGCTAGTCTCTTAATAAATACGGACATAGAACATGCAACAAAATCGAGTGAGCGGTCCTTGAGCGTTGGGCGTAGTTTTTGGGGCTTAGCAACAGTCTGTTACTCTTTGTCATTCAGATAAAAAATAAAAGTGTCATAGGAGCCTATACTAAATAAATAATTTTTATCTTAAGATTCGTTTATATATTTTGCTCAATCATTGTGACTAAAGTATCCTAAAAATTCCATTATGTTTCGTTGGTAGAGCAAAGATCAAGAACGACTCGATTTTGTTTCTTCAAACATTCCGTCACGTTTCATTATGTTTGTTTGTGAAATGGAAATGTGCAAATTAATTGTGAAGCAGATTTTTAATTTTAATAGGTTCCTTAATTTATTATTTTCTATTTAGGTACTTTATTCCATAAAGATGGGATTAGGTCTTATTATCAACAATAACATCTTTATTTTTTTGAGGTAGGCAAATCAAGTGACTTTCCTTCTATGTAGGGCGAAGCGTATTTTTTTTTAATTGTTGTCTTACACTAGGATTTTGTTCGTCGTCGTTTATCCAGACCCGGAACAACAATTTGTGGATCACGCAAAGAGTTGTTCCATGTAAGAATCGAACCCGCGACACATTGCGGTTTGCCTTCTTTAGATTCGGGCCGGGGTCATGATACAAAATATGAAATGTATGTCCATATATTTATAAAACTCACCTTGTATTTAATGTGCGGTAAAGGTTTTCCACTGGATCCAATTGGAGACGAGTGGTTGGAAAACACAAGAGAACCAACCTCGCTCATTCCATATACGTCATTAACAACTGCTTTCGGTACCAATCTCTAGAAATAAAAGGAAAACACGTTATTACACATTCATACCTTTTTTGCTGAGAGCAATAATAAGCCTTAGTGTCTTGACACACAGATTTTTTTTATTGTGAGGGGAAAATCATCATGCATATGACCTAAGTGAGTTGAGTGTCAGACTCTTACTGAATAAAAAACTCCCCGTTCCTTCTACTGCTCTAGACCCGGCTGAACATCAGCTCTATAGGGTCTTGCCTATGACGAGCCATGCTTACCATCAGGTAACACGTCCGTCAGCTCATTTGCCGACCTATTACATAAAGAAAAACTGGTTGATGTTGCTGAGTTGGCGACCTATTCGGATTGGGCATGTCCGCCATCCCAGGGTTGTATTATTGTAACTTTGTTAGGCTGTTTAACGTTATTGTTTTGATTAATTTTATTTTTATTTTATTTAGTTGCTGTTCCAAGTTTTTATTGTATTTTTTTTTATTCTTGTTGTATATTTATTTTTGTTCTTGGCCTTCATGTCTCGGTCCGAATAAAAACAGTTTTCTTTCTTATTTCTTGATGTACTTGCGCGCCCTCTACCAACCTCACCTAAACCATAGTAATGTAGGCGATAGTCAAAGAGATTAATAGTCTACTTACTCTCAACTCATCTATCATCTCTCGTGGCACAGCACTCCCCCCAAGATATATCACATCGAAACAGGAGAACTCGCAATTCTCCTTCGCAGCCGCCTTCATTAACGTGGCCATCATTGGAGGACTAGATATCAAGAATTTTGGCTGAAAAAGATGTGTGTTTTATTAAATCATCGTAATTGGCGAGAAAATATTTCAATAATGAGAAAAAGCTACTGGCCATACGGACAAAGAATTAAGCTTTAAATACCACGCTTGCTCAAGATTTGCGATTTCAAAACTTTTATAAAAAGCTCAGTTTACAGGTATAATATAAATAAAAGGTCCAAGTTTCCTGAAGTTTTTCTCCGTGTATCAAAATAATCTTACAAATTGCATATAATATGCGTGGGAAATGTTAAGTTATTCGGAGAACGCTGCGTCTATTTTATATATTAGATTTTTATTTTAAGTGTAAGAGAGCTAAGCTTCGGCGCGACCGGTGTGATAGCACAGCCTTACAGAAAACCGGCATGAAACAACCACAGCGTTGTGCTAAACCATGAGAGTGAGGTTCCCGGAGGCCCAATCCTTCCCCTCGTAATTCCTCTATTTTTGCGTCTTTGTCCATGGGCGAAGCTGATTGCTTACCATCAGGTAATCCGTATGCTTGTTTGCCGACCTATCATAAATCATAATATGTTACTATGTTCTCCGTCCTACGACATGGCTGTGTTTACTAACCTCATATTTCTTAATTAACTCTAGAATATGTTCAGTCGTATAGGGTGCAGACGATTGTATCCTCCAGTAGTTAAATATTGGGCCCATTACATAGTTGATCAGAGCTGACAACCATTGCAGAGGAGCCACAATGAGCACTGATTGCACTGGGGGGAATTTCTTGGCTGAAGTACTGGGAAAAGAAATGAAAGTAGGTAATAATGAAGATGACAAGTTAAGGCCTAAATCTCGAAAAAAGGAAAAAGGAAATTTTCGCATAGGTATGCATTCGTTTTGAATAATGGTAGCTTGATTTGACGATACGAAAAGTTCTGTATAATGTCTCAAGAGAATCACTTATTTGCCCTCTATTTTACGAGGAATAATTTACACAAAACAATGATATTATAAGTAAAAAGGTGTAGATATGTTACAAGGGCTCAGCAAGTGATACATTAAAATGTGGCTATTAGCCACATTTTTTCATATTTGTCTCTTTTCACTCGCGATCATTGAATTATGCTATCTCACTTTGACGTCTAAACATACGAATTGTTCATGTGTGTATCAGTTAGGGCATCGAGAACCGGTCCTATTTCAGGAACCGGTTCTTTCGGTTCTAAATTTTAGACGGCACCGGGTACCCGGTTCTTTCGGTTCTTTCGGGTTTTATCATAAATTCTATTTGAAGTCTCTCATTTTTATTAATTTTTTGAATTACACTCAAATTACATCATATTTTTGAACTATTTTGTAACTATTGTTATTTTATTATGTCCAAAATTTGAATTTCGCGAGTTGTCATGGAGCATTTACTTCAATCAATAAAAATCTATCATTAATAATAAATTATAACGTTATTTATTGGTTTAACAGTGAAATAATATAATAAATTTGGATAGGAGTAGGAGTTGAAGGAGACTCGGGGGAAGGATGTATCTCAGTAAGGCGCTGGTAGGGGTCTTGACCGTACTTCCGGGATTGCTCTTATAGCCGTGGGATGCCTCTCATTCCCTAAGCAGCTCAACGTATGTTGCCTCCGTGTCGCTACATGCTAGCGGCCGTTTCCGGGAGCCCATTTTATTGGGTTTGCCAGTCACCTCCTGCCTGTTTATCCGTATATATCAATATTGGTCAGGGGCAGGGGCCATAGTATTTCCATAGTTATCATATCCACCAGCACATAGCAACCCATACCCATAAAACCCTTTCAATTATTATTACCATATTTCGCAATAGTCCTAGATCAACCGCGGATTATCCTTGGGTGCACTTTCATAGTGCATACAGGGATAATTGCCGGCTGATGTCCCATTTCAGTTATATTAAAGTTGTTCAACGGGCCTCTGCGAGTTGGCTTCGACCCCTCGTACGCCTTCTAAAGGTCCGTGATCCTGTAATCCCGTGAACGGAAACGAAAATTTGGATAATAACTTGATATTTAGCATTAAAAGTATTATAGAGATATTATTTTTAAAATTTTAAGACAGAACCGTAAGAACCAAAAAAACCGGTTCCTTGTTTTACACAACCGGTTCTATCAGTGTCTTCCAGAACCGGGATTTCCCGGTTCTTTCGGAACCGGGAAAAACCGGTTCCGATGCCCTAGTATCAGTGTGTCGTTTCGAATTTTGTTTAGGTAACCTACCTACACCATTTTACTTATAATATCACTGTACATAAATGTAATGTTTATGGATCAACTGTTTCAAATCGATCGATCTAAAGAATTAGAGTCCCGTTGTAACTTGAAAGTAATAGAGCTTTTCTCAGATTTTTTTAAGCAAGACAGAAATATATAAGGTAGTGGGAGAAAAGAACAGTATCTTACAAAATATAACCTCCCGAAATCGCCATATTCATGTGTGTCACTATAGCAGATTTGGGCAGTCCCGTGGTACCGCTTGTGGATACTAGATAGGCAATTGTTTCTTCTGGGTCGAAGTCAGCTAATCTGAAAGGAAGAATAAAATGTGCTAAGTTTTTCTTCGGATAGATCGAGCAGACTGTTTACTAGCTAGTATGTTGTCGCCTTTTTACGGTTATTATGGATTTGAGGATAAGGGAAGGAGAGAGATCTATAGACGAGTGAGGAAGAGGGATCGAGTTATACACCTTTTATAGCTTCATCCCTCTTTCTCGCCCGAAAGATTCACGCTTTAACACGTCATAGTAGGTCCTCAGAACTTACTTGAAATTGTCCACATCAATCTCCTCTCTACACGTCTCCATCATTTCAGAAAAACTCATCGTGTCAGGACTTGCACCGAAACTGATGATTTTCGAGTCCAAACCTGACTGACTGACAGCTTTTTTTACATCTAAAACTTTTTCACTTTCGCAGAAGATCATTTTCGGTTTTATGTTATTGAAGGTGGCTTCTAACTCACCTGTGGAAGAAAAAATAAGGAAAATATTGTACTCCAATCTTATTATAAGATTCGATCTCGACTTCATCCTTTGTTGAGCGCGAGAGCAAGTGTTTTCACCGCTTCAATTGCATAAAGTTAACTGCTATTTGTATGGCACGGCTACAGCGAACTCACAGCTCGCTGCGAATGCTCTGGCCCTCCACACCCTTGCTTAAAAAGAATGTGTCTTAACCAAAAGGTCACCACGTCATTCAAACATAACAAATGCTTAAAAGATACGAATTCCTATAAGAATAGTTATTTGACGATTTTAGCACAATTTAAATCATAACAATTTTAGCAACCTTCGTCCACAACTAAGACCTTTTTTAGATGTTTGAAAAATAACTTTGCCTGCTTATAAATCTTATCTTCCACTTACCAACTAACAGAGTTCTATCAATGGTAGCGGTAGCAATTCCAAGGTACAGCGCAGCATACAATGGCACAGCCTGGTCCAAATGATGGGCACCCATCAAAATGATGACGTCACCAGTTTTTAAACCTAACTTCCTAAAGACGGTGGCACATTGTACACTTCTCCTTAATACTGATCCGTTGGTTTCTGATTCGCCTGTTCTGCCGTCAATCTGTAAAGAAATAAAGGTATGAGACTTTTTTTTCATGTTAGTGATCACGTGGTAATAGTGAAGATTGGTTCTCTCACGTGAATTAACTAAGAAAAGCCCTACTAGTTTCAATTTACAACGGAACTTATGAATGCACGACGTTACTGCAACGCACACGCTTGTCTTGAATAAGAGTCCTGGGCGCCAAGTCTGCTATTAAAATAGTGTCAAAATAGTCGATTATTGGTTTCATAATTGTTGATTTTGACAAGTTATGCTATTGCAATGGCGCCATAATAATTAATCACTGACACGCCTTTGAACGAAATGGCTCTTATTGGTAATCTCGTGCATAATGACAAACAAATGTCTGACCAGGTAGTGATTTCAAACGAGTAGTAGTAGTAGATTCTACCAGTTCATTCACGTGGAAGATTCAATCTCTTTTTTAGACTTACAATTTGGATGGCTAGCTTCATGTATATTTGTTAGGTAAAGCAGTTGTAATCAATATCAACGTCATGTCAGGCACGTGGACTTCGCCCAGCAACAACTATTTTAAACTTTACCTAGGTACCTAAAGGTAACTATTGTAATCTAGTCTAGACAATAAAACCTTTTTTAATATCTATATTATAAAATAATTAATAATTATTGCATTATTATCTACGTATAAGATTTTTATCTGTTTTGCCCCTTTGATTTATTATGATCAAATATGTATTTTTACTGTTCCCATATATACTAACTAGCTTCCGCCACCAGCTTCGCCCGACATGATATGTTGATAAAAAGTAGCATATGTCCTATTCCAGAGTGTATCCTAGGCGTAGGATGCCATATTTCATCCAGATCCGTCCAGCCGTTTTGGCGTGATTGTGTAATAGATATCCAAACATCATAACTTTCAACAGGCCATAAAACATCACTTTTACACGTCAACATTATACATAAACATACAAAGACTATATGAAGGCATGTCCTATCTGACTACTCTGAGAAAAAATTGCCGAACAAACCCAAAGGTCCGTCTCTCTATTACGAGACAAGATATAATGACAAGACATCATCCTTATCATGCATTTTATTAATCATCCTTCATCATCATTATGCGTAATAGGTAGTTAGTTATTTAATTAATTTGTTATGTACATTAGGCTACTATTATCATGTCATTATAATATGTTATTGTTTAATTTGTTTTTAGTCTGTTTGAAGATTGTTTAGATATATCGAATGTATAGAAGTTTACACTGAAAAAAATTAATAAAATACTAGTTTATAATTGGCTTAATTTTAGAGAACTATGCTTAGGCACAAGTGGGCCGGCTCGAACGGAGTGATACTACGGCCTTACAGAAAACCGGCGTGAAACAACCACAGCGTTGTGTTTCGCCGTGTGAGTGAGGTTACTAGAGGCGCAATCTTTCCTCTCCCCCGATCCCTAAATCTCCAAAACCCTAATTCCTAAAAGGTCGGCAACGCACTCGAAACTCCTCCTGTGTCCATGGGCGTCGCTGATTGCTTACCATCAGATAAACCGTCAGCTCGTTTGCCTACCTATTACATAAAAAAGTGACATTACCGGAGGTCAAATGCTTTCCTTCCCCTTTTTCTATCCGACAATGACCAAATGACAAAACCTTCATAATATTGCTTGCTCTCAAAATCTGTGGGCAGCGCTAATTGCCTACTAATTAAGGTTTTATGTAAGACAACTCATATGTGGCCCTAACTCTTAACACAATGAAGTAGGTACCTACATACTTATCCCTTACAAAGACGAAGACGTTCATGAAGACATGTGCAAAATATTATAACAATAATCCAAAACAAAAAAGAGTCACTATAGAAAAAGTATCAGTATAACTCTATTAAACTTCAAATATATAAATTCCTACCTGCATAACTAAATCGGGATTATCCTTTACATTCTGAAATATTAATTTGCCAAGATGATATCTGTCACTTTGAATCCCACTGCTGGCCACAACACGGTCCCCCAACTTGTCCAGAAACGGAGCCATCACTTCATTTTTACACATAAACTTTTCCATTAGGCTTAAATATTGCAAGGCGCTTAGAGCACGCTCTTGACGTGATTCGCGATTGAGTTATCTTTATATACTTTATGTTTTGTGATATGTAAAATTTTATATACATGTATAGTTTAAAAACGCCCCTCCTCTCTCCCCGAACCCCGTTCTCGTCTACCGTCAACGGACTAAACAACCTATTCCCCGCGACTGTCTTTGCGATATACATATCTTCCGCGTTCTATTACGCACTTCGCTATAATAGTCTTATAATTAGAATGGCATTTAATGAATGAGGTTCACCTTGTTAGACTTGATATTTACATTTTTTTTCTTTAGTTATAAATAAAAACGGAAAATAGGTGAACTTTGTTGAAGTTTAATTTTGAATGTTTAGACTTCCGAAATAAGGTTTCTTTTCGATCTCATAGTAATGAAAAAATAGGAAATGAAATGAGAGAAATTCTGGACCATGTACCGCTGCGTAGAATGCCCATTATTATAATAATCACAGGACCAATCACCAGTAGAGGTTCAGGTAACTAAGGCCAAGGGGGCTGTGGTTATAGGTTGTTTCCAACCGGTTTTTAGGACAAGTCTGTTACCATGAATATCTTGAGACCAATCAATTGATCATGATTTTCTATGTAGATAATTTTTAAAATAATGATTAACTCGGAATCAATTGGATTTATTCCACTTTAATTAATGATCGAGTGGAACTGTCACGATTGCTCAGTGTCCGTTCAGGGTTGAACAAGATGATAGATAGATATCTGTGCGATGCAGGGGCGACAGGCAAGTAATTTATAAAAAAACAAAAGTTTTTTAATACGGTCAAATTTTGTCTTGATCGGTAACCAGTCAATCTCGCTTTTTTGTGGAAGTACATCCTCAAATGACTCCTATCCAGGGTAGGGTTAAAAACCACACCATTCATTATCCTGTACTGGGCTAGGGCTGCGGTATGTTATTGCGTTTGCACTCATAATGCTGGATGGACATCGGCCCTAATAGCGCTGTTTGCTCGGATCTGGACATGCCCATGCCTAACTGGGTAAACTGGGTGAGCAAGGGTACTTAGCAACCGGAGTGTCTATATGAATCTCGCTTAATATCTTATTACAAAATTTCACTGACCTGATAAAACTGTTCTTTCTACAATACAGTTTGTGTACTCAAAGTACACATGTTTCTTTGCCTTTTAAACAGACATTAATTAACATTTGTTTATTAGTAGATAATATTTTATTTCACACGTGTTGGCGCGATAGTGTTCTAGATAACTACAGTAGTTCGGAATCGCAAAACTAAACTTATATAATGACATTTTGATTATCAAGGCTGGGTAAACCCTTATCAGTTTTGAAATGATTATTAAAATTTATGACCGACGATATTACTTAATTTATAATTCGACAATTTGTGGTTGTTGATATCTTTATTACACCTACTTCCTAACTATATCGTTTTGTCTACTTGACGCTTGAGTGGTAGAATGGATTCGCAGTTTCGCTTCGATAAGTTTAAAGTTAGCTTCGTAGAACCAACTTTGAGAGGGTGGCTTGTAGAAGTATACAACTTGCCCTGCTTGGGCTGAGCACCGCCGTGATCTCAGGGAAGTGATCGGCGGCGGCGACCTCTCGCGCCCGTCCTTAATCGAGGCCATGGTGCAGCGTGAGAGGAACTGGGAAGCTATCTCCTCCTTCTGCGAAGAAGCAGTTATGCTCGCAAAGGAGGAGGCGGAGCGCGTGAGGGAACTATCCTCCTCGCGCCCCAGCCGCCGCAGGAGGCGACATTCCGGACGTCGGGGATCGAGAGATGATCTCCGTCCACCGTAAGCGCGGGTCTGCGGACGGCGACTAAGGGTAGCTCGCCGCCCGACCAGAACCGGACCCGAGCGTACGGCGCGTAGCGTTCCGCGTGGGCCTCAAAGAGCCAATAGATCACCACAGTCGGGGCCCTAAAGGGCTGATGTTTAGCCGGGGCTGCGGGATAAGCGCAATGAGGCACCGCGACCTCGGCTCAGAGCAGGAGAAGGAACGGGGGGGTTTTTAGTCAGTAAGAGTCTGACACTCTCTCTCGCTTTATCCTGGGCGGCAGAAGTCATTGGATGATTTTCCCCTGACAAAAAAAAAAGCATATAGAAAACTTCGGGCACGCTGTTACAGCAGCGGTAGACGCCTCTTTGAGAAATGGCTCGAGATAAGATACGTTATGGCATCTTCCAGCTGATTCACACGATTCGGGTCCTCGGGAGGAGACGCCTGGGTGTCGTCATTGTGAGTATCAACCAGAGGACATATTTACAGAAATAGTACCTACTGTTAATATTCACAAATTCTTGATTTACTCTTTACCCTGTTTTTTTACCCTGGTTGCAGAGGGTTCTTCAGAGTTTGTACTTTCTAAAATTGTTGAGACACCACTGACATACGCCGAAGGAAAACATCGTGAGGAAACCTGGACTTATAATTTCTAATTACGAGTTTGAAATCGCCAATCCGCCTTGAGCAAGTGTGGTGGTTAATGCTGAAACCTCCTCCGTGTGAGAGGGGTCCGTGTGTGTGTGTGGGGGGGGGGGGTGATTGCTTACCATCAGGTAATCCGTCTGTTCGTTTGCCAACTTATACCACAAAAAAGATAATGTTTCCCACTAAAAAAACGGTTCAAGTCCTAACGCCATGCGCAGAAATTTGTTATGCTTATTGTCTATCGAACTTTCTATGTATACTAATATTATAAAGGGGTAAAATTTGTAAGTTTGTATGTAGGGGGTAATCTTCGCAGCCGCTGGTCAGATTTCCAAAATTCTTTCACTAATATTAAGCTACAATATTTCCGAGTGCTATAGGCTATAAAACACCACGCTACAATCAAATAGAACCGAGCAGCGAGTGAAACCGCGCGGGAGTAGCTAGTATTATATAAAAGTTAATGTATGCGCACGAGTTTATTGTACCTATAACCTATCAAACTATATTATAGGTTAATGTATAATAAATTATTGAAATTAAATTGTTATTAAGTGTGTAATTACATGAACTAGCACGCGACTCCTCAGGTGTTATTAATATTTTGACGTATAATGTGGTGTGAGGTTTGATGTGATAAGTAATTTTATTTCGTGCCCCGTTACGGATATATTCAAGACTGCAATTAGTTCCAAAAAGTTTGCCGTCTCCTACGTCGTGAGGTCCTACTAAATTTTATGACTACCGTGACTAATAAATATAAAAATAAAGGAAACAATAGAAACACGTGTATCTGGTGGCCGGGTGGCAAGTGCCAATGTATGATCGTCAAGCTATCTCTAATGGATGCAGTAACTTCTGCAGCGGTTGGGGCGAATGGGGGATAGTTTTCCGCCTCCTTGTTTGCTAGCGTGACTACTTCGTGTAGGCAGAGACGGTTTTTAAATTCCTCTTAACCATTGACTGAGGCCAGTCATAATATCTGGTCTCGATTCCCTAAGGACACGACGGTGTTCAGCCCAAGCAGCGCACACCATCACCATGTGCTTCATCGTGGCAAATACCATTTTTTCCGATTTTATGTACTTTCTAAGTGTATTTAGACACCGCTGAAAAATGGCGAAGGATTATCGTGGGGATCACTTCACCTGGAATTGTAATTTATTATTCTTAATTTAAAATCGCCAATGCGCCTTGGGTATACGTGATAATTACTGCTAAAACCTTCGCCAAGTGAATAAAGGCTTTTCCTTAGCAGTGGGCACAGGCTGATAAAGAAAAGGGCGACAATTAAATTGTAGACATTTTTTAAACTACTCAACTATCCGATACTCATTGCACCTTGTAAGTTATTTTATTTTTGTTGTTTTAGTACTGATGCCTGCTTTGAAATAATGATGGTCTATCAAAAACTTAAGCGCCTACTGTAATTAACATACGCTTAATTCAGCTTAGACAGAATTGCTTTTAGGAAAACACCACACCAATTTATCGACAGTTATTTTTAAGTACCTATAAGGCGTGTCCATTTTGGTCCATTCAGTATGTCTCAAACATAAGTTTTTAGGTCAAGCCTTTGCTAATAATACTTAGTCTATATTTAACTTTGTAGGAACTGAGTCCACTACATCTACATAGCTCGGAAAATCATGCTTACGACCACTCAAACAAATAAATATGGCTGGTGGCAAAAAAAAAAAAATAGGAAATGAAACAAATGAAGGTCTGGTTCCACTTTTATTTTTAACTAGATCTGAGTATTGTCCGTTTTTCATTCTCTCGGTAAGTTGACGACCATTTCTTTTAGAGCCTTCCTGTTAATTTTTGACGTGCTAGTCGTTGGTAGTTCTTTCATGAAGATCACACCTCCTCTTAGCTGCTTCGAGTCGGACAGTGATTCTGCAAGCACAGTGGAATTGTCTATACTAATATTATAAAGAGGTAAAATTTGTAAGGTTGTATGTAGGGGATAATCTTTGGAACCGCTTTTCGGATTGCCAAAATTCTTTCACGAATAGGAAGCTACAATGTTCCTTAGTGCTATAGGGCTATAGGGTATAAAACATCAAATGGAGCCGAGAAGCGTGTCGCGCGTCTTATAAAATTATCATCAGTATCAATTTTTTATCATTTGTAATGTGAATTTACCTTTGACCAGGTCTTTGATCTCCTGTGCTGTTGGATTGCAGCCAGGCTTCGGAACAATGCACGCCACCACCAGATCACCAGATTCTTTGTCAGGAACACCTGTCACTCCCACTAGCATTACTCCTGGGTGCTTCATTATCACTTCCTCGACTTCTACTGGAGACACCTGAAACATGGTTGTCATTTGTGGGTCTTAAAGATATCCTATTATCATTATCATTACTGTTCAGTTTGAAACAATCCTCTTCCCTCCACACTTCAATTTGAATACTTCTATTGTATGAAGTAAGTCTGTTGAAGTAAGGCTTCCGCACGAATGGGTCAGTTCGATCGGAGTAATACCACTGCCTCACAGAAAACCGGCGTGAAACAACCACAGCGTTGTTTCGCCGTGTGACTGGCGGTTACGGGAAGCCTAATCCCTCCCCTTTCCCAATCCCTAAATCACTAAAACCCTAATCCCCAAACGCTCA